TACCATGATTAACCTGTTGGTTTGTCTGTAGGATTTATCGTTTCAACCCTTAAGGCCATGGCATTGCAAGCCGGAACGAGCTTGACCGATGCTATGAGGGATTTCTATCACGCAAAGGGGACCCTCCAGGTCTCAAGGGCCCGGCAGGCCCCAGACACAGCTGATGTCGATTGAGTCGCAATCTTCCGACCTTGGGATGTTCAGGTTGAGAGTACGAAAGCACTGCAAAGCGGTGAAGATCTTTAGCTTAGGCCCATGGTACGTGTTGCGATGTGCCCTGTCAGTCATTAAGACATAACCCAAACTCAATATAATTAAAGCTATTGAGGGGAAATCCCATGCAAACTTGTTTAAATCTGATTTGTGGGGCTGATAGGGTCTGGGATGCAACCCTTTTGACCGTTGGAATGCTAGATCGTCAGTGAACATCGCTGTGTAACAGTGCTAAGCTTGAAGCGCCGATGGAAGCCCAGCTCAAAACTCAAAGTGTCCACTCAGTATTGAAATTAGCCCCCTTCTCACTATAATGATTTTAGTGGTCCCATATTATAAAACTTGTGTGGGTATTTTTTGCAGGGTTCATCATAGCCTGCAGATTGTGCGCGTCTCACTTGGATGTAGTGGCCCTTGATCAGTGTTACACACACACGTGTTGCTACCACACAGAACTTTTGATCAGAGCTGAAGCCTTTAGTCAAAGTGCCCAATTGGCTTACTCCTTAAGCCATGCCCTTCGCTATCAATGACAAGGAGGTTGCACTCCTCTTATGTCTTCAAGCACCTTGCGTATTGTACTTGGGATGAATGAGCGTTCTTACAATTTTTCACATCCAAACCCTTTATCACTAGAAACAAGTGTTTTCCAGATCCACTAGGCCGCTCTTGCGCTCAGGATTCATTGCCTGGACTACATCAGCCAAACTTCAAGCAGCGCATTTCAAAGAGAAACTTGTTTCACTGGGTGGGTGATGGAAGATAATTGCTGGTTAGGCAAGAGTGTTTGTATATGTGCATGTGTCAGTATTTAATGTCTTAAAGCCATGGCTGCCATATTACAGTAGCTCAGCCAAGGATCTGTGGATGCTAGATATGTTTGCTGGTGCTGCTGGTATCTCCCGAGCATTTAGCATCTTGCCAAAATAGCTAACTTTTGACAATGGTCCTCAGTTACATCAACTTTTTTCCTATGGTTTCACAACACGTCAGGCAGGCGAGGATTGCGATCCTCGCGCTATGATCTGAATATGGGTGAACAATATAATTTCAACACGACGTGCCTTGACTGATTTGGACAATTCACAGCTTCAGTTGAATAGACACATTGCCTTCATATATGTTGTAATAGTTTTCTACCTACTATCCAAGGCTCGGGTTCTTGCTGGCACTTCAGTATCTGCTCCGCTGCAAAGTGGGTGGTTTGATGTTTGCTGGATTTCCTTGCTCAGCCCATGTTTGGTTGGCCTCAGGGGGGTCAAAAAAAACAAAGGCAAACCCTCGAGGGGTGACTTCCCTGGAGTTTGTTCGTCGAGGAAACATGCAAGCAAGTCGATTCAGTTTGATGGTACTTGTGTGCAAAGTCCGTCAAATTTGGTGGGGGGGGGAACAGCCAAATGGTTCCTTGGCGCTCTTCCTCCAGTACATTGTCATGGTACTTTATCCTTGTCGATATATGCTTGGCTTTCAGTCATCCTTTGTCCAAAGGATGTCACTAGGCTGGATTCACTAGTTGCAACACAGTATTTGATATGCTAGGCCCTGATGATCCCATGTCCCATAATATACAGTCAGCCGCTGGCCAGTAGTGAAAATTCCTAATATTTAGATTGTATCGTTTGCGGCTGCTATACAATTATGGTGCATGGGTAATGCATTGCATCTGGTCATTATTACCAAATCATTGGTTAAACATCAACCAAGGTGGATGGGACTGATGGGACATCGCAGCTTGAAGAGAACTGTGTTATTTGGAGATTCGTCATTTGGCTAGCTTACAAGATAAGACAGTGCCACTTTGATGCTGTACAAATGGAAAATCACCAGGTAGTTCACCCCCTGTCGAGCTACTTCCCCTCTGGCTTTTGAGGCCTTGGCTGCATTGTTTCAGCCTGCAATCCCACATCACGAAGGCTGACCGTGAGAAGCATTCCTGGAGCTCGGATGGAAATACGAAGGTGAAGAAAGCCCATGGCAAGGTTGTATGTGTGTACCTTGATTCAAAACGCATAAACAACTGGGATGTTGATTCAGTGCTTATAACCTGATGTATTTTTCACTGTGTGTGGTATTGGTTATGACTATAAACTGACTAGATAAGGTCGGGTGGACCAAAGCTTCGCGACACGCAGACGTATCCAGCTGCTTTTTGCAGCAAGGTTGCTGAGTATCACAAAAAATGGTGCATTGAATCTTGAATCAAAATGTCAGGCTAGCAAGATCTCATTTTTACTGATATTATATATGTTTCATGTTTTAAGGGAATTCCTTGGTCTGACCTAGCTACCCAGGACACCAAGAGCGTCCCCTCACTTCCAGATGAGCTGCAACAATCTGATGGCCCTCAGAAATTTGTGTCTCAACTTGGAATAATTGTAAACCATACATGTCGGCCTATATTCTTGAGCTGGGCAAATCCATTATTATAGGTGTTAGCTCCCATTCAGCCAAGGTGGCGCCTGATTTCTGGGAGGATGCCAACCTTGAATCTTTAATGCATTAGTGGCTATTACTCAGACCCTACCACAACACTTCTAAAGTGTTCATATGAAACCAGGTCCTTTCCTTTTGCCATTCCAATTTGCCCAGGAACCCATCCTGGCCTTCTTGAAGAAGGAAGCTCGTGCTGGCAGCTTCACACCTCGGAAAGAGGTACCGCTTCGGCTGGAGCCACTGAATGAATCAGAGGCTTCGATTTACTTTAATGTTTTGGGACATGCCTGATTTAGTATCGGTACTTGGCAATATGCCAAAATTCCAAGGTCAACCCAAGATGACTAAATTCATGTGGTTTCACCACTAGTTAATTCAATTTGGAGATCACACAAGCCTGGGGAGCGAGATGGAAAACCAAAAGAAGTTGTTACAAGAAGAGTCTGCAAACTGACTTTTGTTCATGCTAGCGCTGGCATGACACTTCTGATCTGGGTGTTCATTTTCATTTCAATTTTGAACATTTTTTTTGTGAGTGCTGCATTTTCTGGCTTGTAGCCAACCATTGCACCGGGACCTTCTAGTCCATCCCAACCAGGACCGATGTTTGGGATATTTTGGGGTTAAATTTCATGCCATAACCATCTCAGCAAAAAAGAAGGGGATTTTGGAACCGTGATTTAGGGCTTGGAACCGTTACGTAGGACCCTGGAACCGTGATTTAGGGGCCGGAACCGTGATTTAGGACCCGGAACCGTGATTTAGGAATTTAGCATTTTTTTCTCAAAAATAACAATCTTTTTCAAAACAGGCTTGTATATTTTTCTCCCCTGGGAGGACCATGGGAAGGCCAAAGAAGGAGAAGACGCCACTGCCAGAGCAGTCGCCTTCAAACCCAAACCAAGTTCAGGGCTTGCTCAGTAAGGCCAAAGAGACCTTGGCCCTTGCTAAGCAGAAAAGGAAGTGTGAAGGTGAGGAAGGGATAGAGTCAGTGCCCACACCATGCAAGGCCAAGACAGCCCCCCCTTGCCCAAAGGTTCCACAGCAGAGGCTTCGCAGCAAGTCCCCGGCAAACATGACAGCAGCGCCAAAGCAGGCACCTCCAAAGCCAGCACCTGCCCCCAAGCCAGCAGCGTCAGCTCCTAGCTCTAGCGCATGGGACCGTGTTCAAGCAGTACTCGTCAGAGCAAAGGCCATGAAGATGGATGTTGACCAGAAAAGCAAGGCAGCACCAGCCCCTCCACCCAAGCAGGCAGCACCAGCCCCTCCAGCCAAGCAGGCAGCCACAGTTGTCAAGGCAGCACCTCTTGTAATCAAAGCCGTTAGTTCTCCACCACCCAAGGCTGTTGCAAAGGCAACTAGTGCAGAAAACTTGTCACCTGGGTCTGTTGCTAAGTCACCTGATGGAGAAACCTTGGAGAAAGCTCCTGCCTTACCACCTGCTGACCCTGTCACCCCCCACCCAAGGCTTCACTGACCTCACCTCAGGGTAGCGTAGAGACACTCACAAGCACAGCCGACACAATGCCCGACATGAGTGAAGAGAGTGGAAAGGATGATGGGTGGGGGGAAAACTGGAAAGGTCATTGGGAGTCTAATCAAGCCTACTATGGATGGAACTATGGGTGGCATGGATCCTATGGCTACCATCCTCACTACTGGGACAGCCCTGGTTATGATTCTCAGTGGCGTTATGACCCATCCCCTCACTCTTCGTGGAGAGAGCATTGCCCCCCAACACCTGGCAGTGTCACTGGCAGTGACGCACAGTCACAGGTCAGGGAGTGTTTGGCAAACCGCATGCCCAGTTTTGCCGACAAGCTTTCGGAAGTTGACGAGAACGAGGACATGGAGACACGTCCGGTTCCCAACGATGAGGTTTCCAAGGAGCTTCCAGGGGAGTTGGGTGAGGAGCAAGTTGGTGATGATGATAATGATGATGAAGAGGGTGGAGAGGAGAGATGGATGAGGGACAAACGTGGGAATATCATTTCGCCAAAGGCGTTGTACATGCGCTTTTACCGAAAGCTGCGAAGTACTTTGGAAATGCATTTCAAAAAAACTATTTTGTGGGAAATGGGGGCCCAAGGGGGTTGGTAAAACTATTATTATTTTGTTGAAAAGGCATCGCTACTAGAATGCCTAGTTTGCCATAGCCCATCCTCTTAGGCAAGAAGAACCCTCCTCCACCTGAAGTGGCAGAGCAATTCATCGCTGCTGAGAAGAGTCACTTAGATGATGTTAATGTTCATTGTTCACACTGTTGGCTATCAACATTGCTTAAGCCTTAAGCTTTAAAGTGTAATTTTTCAAATTGGGAGCTACCACCAAAAACATGTTGAGGTAAGAACCGAATGCATGAGCTCTACTTGCACTATGTCAGTTGCAAGGGCGTCTGGACAAAGTCTTCGTTGGTCATCAATGCGAGGAAGGAACACCACAAGCGTCAGAAATCAACTTTTGAATTCTGGACCCGAGACAAGATGATTCAGGAACTTGGTACAGACCTTGCTGATGATTTGATTGCCCGCCACAAGACGGCTGAACAGGCGTTGCCAGCATCTAAGAAGGGTCAATTTATCATCAAGACCCTCAACTGGATCAGTCTAGATCAAGCTAGAAATTTTTAGGGTGTCATTTCAAGGTTTCAAAAAGATCAATCAAAAAAACAAAATAACATAAACCTTCGATAGTTCCCACCAAGTTTTACATAGCGTAATTCCAACAAAACCCCACACGTGCTTCCTTGCAGCTTGCTTAGGAACCCCGACTTCCCGGACAGAGAGGATCTGCACCGCTACAAGAACTTCGCAGGCCTGCGCCAGGTGAAAGAGGAGAAGCATTCAACTTCTGCAAGTCTCACTATGGAGGCTGAGGTGGAGGAAGAATCTATGCATGCTGCAATGCCCTTCAGCTTAAACATGGCCCTATAATCATGTTTATATTCATAGGCTAAATACATGATGTAATATTTCAATATATATATATACACTTATACAATATCGATGCAGCATGATATACTTTCCACCTCATATTCCCCAGATAAATTCAGATTAAGATATCCTCACAGGTCCACAACATGGTTCAATCCAGTGGTCGGCCATTGCCTACTAAGGGAAGCTGCTATGGATGATGAGGCGACATTTGAGACCGGTGCTGGCCAGACCACCCGGCCAAAATCGAATCCCCAGAAGAAGGCTGAGGTGAAGACTGATGAACAGAAACTCACATCTGTCATTTTGACAAATCATAGTATCTTTATATATTTTCTTCGTACACGACTATTTCAACACAAATTACTGTTTAATGTTCCAAGGGTTTTATGAGTCGATGTTCTGCCTTTCCTACGCCCAGGTGAACAATGGGGCCCATCGCATGTTGACAGAATGCAAGGCTCTTCAGAACAAGCTGCAGGCGTGCAAGGAAGTGTGCCTTGGTTAACCCTGGGCCTACTTGGAACTTTCAAATCCCAATGAACTTAGATCAGACAACTAAAAATATGATCCCCAAAGAATATTCATTATCCATCTCTCCTGGGTTTGGCCCCCAGGTCAGAGAAGTACAAGAGCGCCTTGCTCGAAGATTTGGTAGCTGCTGAAGGCAATCTTACCAGCGCAAAGAAGGCTGCAGTCAATGCCTTGGCCACCAAGTGCAACGTTGAGGCAGCTCTGACAGCCACTTGGATAGTGTAATTGAATTCAGTATCCAGGACCCCAACATGTCCTTTAAGTTTATGAACAAACAATCTCTAATACCAATAGACAAGTCACAGTTGTCATATTTTACAAACAACTATCTCTATTCATTAACAACTATACTGGAATATAGTTTGTTCAATTCAATTTGTATTTGCTTCGCCATCCATGCTCAGGACTTGCAAGACCAGTGTGCCCTCTTCAAGAAGGTGTCAGACCCTGTGAAAACTTGTCTTAGGAAGGCGGACCCGGCAGCGAAGGCAAAGGCAAAGGCCAAGGCCAAGAAAGTTTCCAACTCGGCTGCCAAGTAAAAACTTGGCTATTTGGCTGGTATTATCTTTTGATGCAATTCAACCCAATTCTGCATTGCCTTTTTTTCAAAAGGCTTAGGTGCAGGACATGTTCCAGCAAGATGTTAGGAGCTCGCGGGGGATAAACCGAAAGGCTTTGAGACCCCTTCCGTTTTTCTCATACTACAACATGGTTCCTTTGCTGATTTCCTTGACCATTTAGCCTATCCACAAAGAGTGTTGTCTTTACCCTGGGGCCAGGAAAGGGGGATCTTAGACCTATCGATGACGTATGCGTGTAGCTTCAAGCACACTTGCGAGAGGAAGGAAATGACTAGCTGATGCATCTTGATGAATAAACATGGCTTCCACCCTGCAATACAAAGATTTTCTTGGAATGCAGTTTTAGAGATGCACTGATTTGAATATACCCACTAGGATGTCCAGCACTTTTACCAACACATCGCCCATCATTGACCCACATCGCCAAACACATTCCCACGCAGGTCAAGGTGCCCAATCTTCTCAATCTTCTGCCTTTGCAGAAGACCTGCTGCCCAGCTGCCAAATTGGAGCGTTGTGGTGTAGTCAGGCAATGACCCTTGGGATAATATTCCAAGGTCAAATTAACAAATCAGCAATAAATCAGGAATGAATTTAACTGTATATGATAACCATTGATCTATAGTGTGATTTATTTCCTATTATTTCTAAGGTGTCTGGTGTGGATCTGAGGCTTACCCGTTTGGGTGAAGGAGGGGAATCAGCAGCTAGGGCTGTCCATTTGGCAAAAGCTGTGGTTGAGGACTCTTGGGTTTTTGCGTTTTCCACCAAATTGTGGGTCCCCAAATCATGTATTATAAGGTTTACTAGATTTATTATATATTTATATAGCTGGGGGTATCCCTAAACAGGAAGCAGGAGAATCTTCAGTCCACAAAGTGACAGCGAGTGTGGCCAAGATTCGCGAAGCAAACCTTCACCGTGATTTGTTCAGATTCATTAGGCTTCCACTTGAATTGGTCTATGTTACATGCCCCCTCCTCTTGGAGCCGTGGATGAATGACCGGGTTCATGAAGTCCAACTGCCCATGATAGATCCCCATGAGCTTCTAGACTATTTGCACAAGTCTGGCCGTTTGGATGTTGATCCATACGAAATAGCGACACTTGTTTTACTTAGCAAATTTTGTGATGGTTTGACAGTAATACTGTTTACTGTAGACCTTTTTGGGGAAACATGACCACCAAACATAAGGATATACATCTCATCCCTTCTGCCAGGAAATATTGGCACCACTGGAGTGAGGTAGCGCAATGGATGGCTGATCATCCGGGCCATGGGGCGCTACCGGTGGCGCTGTATGGGGATGAAGCCAAATTTAGTGATCAAGGTGACAAGTTCTTAGCGCTAGCTATGCAGTCACCACTGGTTCGAAAAGGCACGTGGTTTTGAAAAAAATATGGGACCCCAAAAAATACAATTAGATTTAGATGGCAGAATAATGTTGTACACCTTGTTGAGGCAACGCTTGGGAAAAAAACTTTCCTTTCTTCGTGGTCAACACTGCGTTTGTATGTGGCACTGGTGGAGTGGCCACTGGGTCCAATTGGGTCATGTTCTTTTGAGTGGAAAACGAAAACCCAAACCCACCCACGCCTCACATTGAAACGCGGCCATACGTGACCTTCTTCACTTCCATGTATGTCCTGAGCCACCCATGTGTTTGAGCCTACAGTAGTGACCCTTTCACTTAGGAAACCCTTCGACCTATTTTGAAAAGAACCACTTGGAGTTTGAATTTGTGTCTACATGGAAGGAGACCTACTGTGCCATCCCCATTTCCATTGAGTAAGCGGCAACAGAAACGTGCTACATCTTCACCTGATTTGAGTTCGAAGTTTGCCATCACAGAAATCAAAGGTGATTGGAAGTGGTTGGTGGAGCTATTTGCCCTTTTTGGGCATTACTGGAAGTCAGGTGCCATATGTCACCGCTGTTGTGCAGCTAGGATCCCCAAGTGTCTTAATTGATAAAATTATGTAATATTTTTCTTCCACCCCTTTCATAATTCTTGGGGATAAGAATGGAATGTTATGGGAATTGGACCTGTATCATGATCAGGTATGGTATCCTCTTCACTCACTTTGACACTGTGTGGGTCGAGCGCAGCACACAACAATTCATAGACCAATGCTTACCGTCGATTCCTTCAGAGCGAAACCCCCTGATCCACCTGGAAGGCTTTGATGTTCAGATGTTGACATTTGGCCTATTGTTCAGAAATGTGTTCAACCATTATTTGGTTTTAAAGAATTTCTATTTTGATCTATTGTGATATATTTGTTTGTTATTCGTGGTTGGAAAAAATGAAAACATATTTTATTTGGCTTATTTGTTTGCAATTTGTTCTGATCAACCAGGAAATTTTGCCTGATGCATAGCAACCACCTAGGGATCTACCATATTGTGAATGCTGAAGGCTTACTCATCTTGGCAGAAAATAAGCAGAGACGATGGGCATGTTCTTTGGAAGAAGCCCTCAGGCACTGCTTCTGTGATTTCAGGCACTGGTGCAGCCGAAACAAAATTCGTTGCTCCCACAGGAGATGGTCAGTGAAGAAGCTCAACATTACTGATGCAAAGGGACTGCCTTCCTTTCCTAGCCTGGATGGCAAAGCATTCAATTCCAGAATAATTCTGGCTTTCCTAGCAGATCCTAGCCACTTTACTTTTTTGAGCTGGGTATCTTACTCCCCATAATCATTAACAAAACATATCGTATCAATCAGTTTTGAAACTTACCTGAATACATCTTTACAAATTCAAGGTTGTCCATTTTTTGGTTGTGTCCTTTTCTGTAGTTCTTGGGATTCCTGAAACCCAAAAAAATGCATCTATAAAAGCTTGGTGCTAATCCCTTGCGCCCAGGACGAATTGAGCAGTAATTGTGACGAGCTTCTGGGCCAGTTCCCAGGTGAAAGCCATCAAGCTTTCATGCAGCGGAGACAACTGTGGACTTTGGGTGTGGCAACTGTGTGGCTAGTGTGAAATCTAAGATGTATTTTCACGGTTTGGGGCCTACCTGCAAACCAATTTATAATAGTTAGGAATTTGGGTGCTTATAATCTAAATCTGTTTGGGATATCATGTGGGGTTAAAGGTCAACATTTGCAGAGTGGCAGCATCTATGCGAGTCCTATGGTCGCTACTTGAGCTCGGCGAATGCCAGTCGGATGTACAATGTGGGGATCCAAGCACTGCAATTCTATAATGCTTCTGCATGGGAAGCGGTTGGTCAAAACCTACTTCGTTGGCAGGTGTTGCCTAAAGGGCATGTACACCACCATCTTCAAATAGATCTGCTACGGGAGAGATACAACCCCCGTTTTTTTCACAATTTCCAGGGGGAAGATCTAATGAAGAGTTTGAAGAAATTGATTCACCTAGCTTCTGGGCCTGGTATGGAAACAAGGGTTCTGCAAAGAGCCATCCTTCGAATCAGTGCTTCAAGGCCACAAGAGCTTGCCAGAAGGAAATGAAAAACGATCGCATCTTCAGTGCGTTTTGTCGCTTAGTTCTACACATTGTGAAATGTTTTCAAAGGTTGATCATCTAATGTTGGATGAGATGTCATCATGGATTGTTCCTAAAATTGGGGTCTATAAACCAGCCCTTGGAACCGTGACCATGGTTCCGCCAGTTCCTGGAACTGGGGCCCAGTTCCTAACATGACAGGTCCTAGGACTTGTAGGGTTCAGTACATGGTAGATCTTGGTAGTAAAAGTCAAGACTTGAACGGGGATGACAGACGGAGACCCAAACTGGTTTCTTGCTGGGCTGCTTATCCAAGTGGTCGTGTAAATATTTCAGCGGTTTACGTGTACGAAACTCAGGTTTCATGTAGCTTGACGCTTGGACGATGTTTGGCAATGTTTGGCAAGTCATGATTTGGTAATGATGCACAATTCATTGTTGTTTATGTTTTGGTTAATCCATTTCCCCGAATCTAATAATTTCCACACATGAAAAACAGGTCTGGTTTTGGATCTATCTACTTTGGGGTCCCTGATTTACTTAAATTTAAACTTATTGTTTTTGGCATTATTTGGCATTTGATATATTAATCAATATGTGGGTGGCTGCAGCCATTTAGCCATTTGCAGGGAACCAGCATCGCAGCCATTCGCTTGTCCCAAAGCTCCTGTGATTTTCCATAAAATGCCAATGAGTCGCCTTTCTTTTGCGCTTGTTGGCATGCTGTTGATGCAGTTTCTGCCGTTGCTGGTGTCCCTGGCTCGCACAGGGGGCCTGAATCACAGTGTGCTAGGGCTGTGGGTGGGGGGTGATGTTGCTGTCGATGATGATGATGATGATGATGATGATGATGTTTAGAATTTATTCGTAAATGACTGATGGAATGGTGGGCCGTTGACATAATCGCTCAAGCTTCATATCATCTTCGGTGCTAGTTTTGGATGGAACCCGCACCTGTCGCGGTGATCAGCGCGTTGACAGCTTGGGTGCTGAAGGATTGGACCAGGTCCACTCCGGCTGCAGCTCCTACTACTTGCAGCTGCCTTTGTCAGGTGCCTGAACCTGCAGTGGCCTCCGGGTGGAGTGGCTTTTCGCTGGCTCTCGTTGGCTTCTTTTGCTGCTTGGTGGGGCTCACGGTTGGATTGGGCACAGCGATCTTTTTTCGATTGGGCTGGTCCGAACCTGGTACCCCTTTGTCTAACCCGGGGAAAGGAAAGAAGGGCCTAGGTGTTTTGGGAAAGACGCTGGAATTGAAATACTACGGCCATGGAGCCTGGAGGAATCGCACTGGTGAACTATGGAGAAAGGCCTGAATTGTGGCATACCAGGTTACTCCTGGTGCAGACCCAGGGATCCAACTGGGTAATAGCCACTCCTGATCACGACATATATGTAGAGGAGATGGCTGCCACCAACAGCGACTTCACTGGTTTTTACTATAGCGGTCCCAATGGTCATGTCCCGGCACATATCAATCCAGCTAGGGTCTATGGTTTTGCTCCCCTCACCGCGGCTGAACTTGGACAACTTCAGATGCAAGGGCGGGTGGTGGCTGGGAACATGGGAGTAGGTGCGGGCGCTGCGGCTGCTGCCCCAGCAGTAGCCCCAGGGGCCGCTCCTGCTGCCCCAGTCGTTGCATTAGCTGCTGCGGGTGTTGCACTGGAAACCACTTGGGTGGCCATGGAGAAAGTTGGACCGTATTCTAGGGGTGATGTCATTGCAACTGATCCCACTCCTCTTCCAGCTGGACATGTCATCCTGAGTAACCATGCCATCATCCCCGTTGGACAGGAGCATCTGTGCCTGAAGAAGATCAAGGCAGCGGATGTAGCTGGCTTCGCACTTGAGGACCTTCGAGTGCTGCCAGTCCTTTTCGATTCAGAGGGCACTCGTCGAAGGGAATTTTCTTCGTGCATCGAGCGTCTCAATGGAGATAGTCCTCAAGGGGGGGGCTTCAACTCACAGGTCCTGCCACGTGCCTGAAGCATCTTCGTTCCCTGCGAGACCAAGGATTCACTCCGATCACCTTCCATGAGCACTGGATTCGATCAAGTGACATTTCGAAGGGGGATAGATCTACTTTCGAACACGAATGCTAGTCGAATTCTGGAATCTATGTTGGTGGTTGATCAGATCAATGCCCCGGCTTTGCAGAGTGCTGAGTTGTTGTGTCGTAGGATGTTGGTGATCAGGGAAGCCCATAGGATCAATCCCAATGCCCCCGAATACAGTGCCGCTGACATCTACATGGGATGGAGATTCCGCAAGAGTGGCCAGGGCTATGATGCTGCGCTTGCAGCTCATGTGGCTGAGGAGCTGAAGGCGGAAGCCTCCATTGCCAAGGAGGCGAGGAAAGCGCGTGAAGAACAAAACCTCAAGCGTCGCCAGGGGCCCAACAAGAAGGACGAGGGCGGCGCGGAGAAGTCATGATGAGTGAAGCTGGCTTGGGGGGTTCAGCCACACCTCACAAGCCCAGATCCGAAGTGGCTGCAGCCGGCTGTTTGCGGTCGGCTCAATCCAATTGGTCTACAGGGCAGTTGCCTGCTTCTAGCAGGTGGCGAGATCTTTTTCCTTTGCCGCCTTGTGAGCCTTCACCCAAAGTGCTTCGTCGAAGAGGAGTAGCTGTCGGGTCAGGCGTTTGGAGAATGAGGTGAACGAGGTGATTGGAGTTTTGAATGAGATCTATGCAGCGCCCTCAGATCGTGCTTTTTCTCAGGTGCCAACTTTTTCTCAGAGGGAGAGTCAGCATCAAATTTTCAAGCAACTATCTCGTCTAAACAGACATTCCATGAGTTTCATGGAGCGTGAAGCTGCGATGGAAGAGCTTCTGCACAGTTCTCCTGCCTATGGAGGCATGGAGCATAGCACAGTTCGTGTCTTCAATAGGGCCCTGGTCAGCATCCCAAAGAGTTCTAGCGAGCCAATTCCGTTGGCAGGATTGCTTGATCAGATCGGGCGAGATACCATTGAGGACGCCTCCAACTGCATGTTGGTGACAGATGATGAGTGGGGACATGTCATTGAGAAAGATCAAACCTTCACACCGTATATGGATGAGACTCTCCGCACGTCGCCGCAGGAATACCAGAACTGTGTGAAGGACATGTTCGAAGCCGGGATGTTGAGCTTCACGTCAAAACCTCAGGGCTTGGTGACTCCTTTCTTCGTTGCAAAAAAGGATGGAAGACAACATCTCATTTTGGACTGTCGAGGCGTGAACCGACGATTTCGAGATCCTCCAGCCATGTCACTGGCCGCTGGATACTCATGGGGACAGCTTAGACTGCCTTCGCATTCCAAACTGTTTGTTGCACAGAGTGACATCAAGGACTATTTTTATTCATTGGCCATGCCCATGGACCTCCAGCCACTTTTTTCCATGCCTGGCATACCAGTTGAGCTGCTTAGGTCTTGGGGAGTTCCTGACCATCTCTACGGTGGTGCATCTTTGGGAGGCGAGATTTTTCCATGCCTCCGAGTTGTGCCGATGGGATGGTCATGGGCCATGTGGATAGCGCAACGGGTGCACACAGAGCAATGCTTGCTAGCATCAGGCTTGGGGCCAGACCGGCTCATCCATGACAAGTCGCCGGCACCAGACTTAGCTGGCGGACAACCAGTTCTTATTCCCTATGCAGACAACTTGAACGTGGCAGGCATTGACAAGGCAGAGGTACAGAAAATAAAGGATCGGGTAGTGGCACATCTTCGCAATATAGGCTTCAAGGTTCATGAAGAGTTGGATGCATGCTCATCGGCAACCTCACTTGGCTATCACATAGATGGGGAGACGGGCGTGATCCAACCTGTTCCTCACAAGTTGGCTAAGGTACAGTTTGCCTTTGCTTGGCTTTCCAGGCGACCCTTGGTGACAGGCAAGGTTGTTCAGAAGCTGATTGGGCATGCGGTTCATTTCATGATGGTCAAGCGTGAACTCCTGAGTCTTTTGCGGAATCTCTATGACTTCGCACTTCGATGTGAGCACACACCCGCCAGGCTTTGGAGGAGTGCATGTCGTGAAGCGCGCTGGGTGAGTGTCTTGCTTAGCCTGTGCTCCACGAACCTTCGCGCTCCATGGTGTACCAGTGTAACTGCCTCAGATGCTTCTCTATCGGGGATTGCTGTTTGCAAGAGGGATTTTTCCAACCAAGACGTTTTCATGATGGGGAGCCAAAGGGAGTCGTGGCGTTTCAAGGGCGGTGATCCAAAACCTCCTCCACGGGCACAGACAGTCGAAAAGGGTGATGTCTTCAACGATGTTTCCACTGTTTTGCCGAGCAAACTTCCAACTAGGGCCGTTTTTGATGTCAACCAAGACTCCAAGGAGATCCCACAATCTTTTTTACATGAGGATGATTGGCAGTTGTGCTTTGCAGCCAAGATGGAAATTCGAGAACACATCACTTTGCTTGAAGGTAGAGGTATAGTAGCTGCTCTTCGATACAAACTTCGAAACTCATCCAATTTCGGTATGCGTCACTTGCATTTTAATGACAACCTTGTACTTATCACAGACAAAGGTAGGTCTTCCTCACCTAGCATGCTTCGAGTTTCCCGCAGAATTGCGGCATTGCTTCTGGCCAGTGGTTGTGCTTTGTGCCCGCGCTGGATACCTAGTGAATGGAATGTCGCGGACAAAGGGTCTCGAAGATGGGAGGCTGAGAGGAGAGAAGAGGAAGAGTACAGCAAAGGAATCAAAAAGTTCAAAGAGAGGCTCATCTATCCAAGAGATGCCAGGTCCACCCAACTCAGAAGTGACCAAGCTGCTCTCTTTCCAACAGATCAAGCTGAGTCAGGTGAATTCGAAAGCCAGCACTCAGCAACTTCGAGCTGCTCTCCGAGGCAAGAACCGAGGGGAACGGCTGGTGAATCGTCAGGCTGTGTTCAGCGAGCTGGCATCTCAACCCAGGTTCCCTGGACAGACTTTGTTGGAGCAGAGGGCGGTATCGGGTTCAGTGGCACGAGACTACATTCTGAGATATCAAGAATTTCAGGGGTTCTGCCACACAAATGGGATGAGCCTTCAGAGCGAGATCAAATTAGACGAAGCTTGCTGCACCTTTCTGAATCACATGTTCATGGAAGGAAGAGACATCAGCGAAGGAAGCAAGGTCTTTGCAAGCGTGCTGGATGCGCACCCCAACTTCGGCGGGAAGCAGAGCTTAGCAAGGAGCAGACGGGCACTTCAGGGATGGAGCAAGTTAGACCCAGGCAATACCAGACCTCCCTTGGCATGGGCTTTGATCGCCAAGATAGGCATGATGATGCTCGGTCATGGGAAGATCCTGGAAGCCCTGGCCATCACTCTGATGTTCGTATGTTACCTGCGACCAGGCGAGGCTCTCCTCTTGCTGGAAGAAGACTTGGCAAAACCAGGCGGCGGCCTCCAGCACTTTGCATTGAACCTTCATCCAGCCGATCGTCAAGAAGAATCAAAGGTAGGACTTCAGGACGAAACCATCATGATCGACTCTCCGGTGGTTCCAAAGCTACCTCCTAAAGTTGGAGTACCCACAGCTGAAGAGAGAATGGGACCTCTGCCTTCAGGAGTTGGAGCTGCCTCAGAGCTATGCAGTTCTCTATCAGCTGAGACATTCAGGCCCCTCGCACGATCGATTGATGAACTATCGTGCCCTGAGCGAGGTCAAGAAGCGAGGGAGAGGTGGCAAGCAGATTCGTCGCTGCGGCGCTACGAGGCACATGCCGGAGTGGCGCAGGAATTTCAAAGGTTGCCTGCCCAGACTCAGGCGGCTTGCAGTGCAGCAGAGGCTCGTTTTCCGAAGGAGCTCCAAAGGTGTTGCTTCCAGCAAAGGCACAGGACAAAAACAAATGGTTGATAGAAATCTTTTCTGGAAGTTGTCACCTTTCGGCTGCTGTAGTTAGAGCTGGATACCGAGTTTTAGCCATTGATATCCTTTATGGTAGTTCATGTGATATCCTATCACCAGCAGTTCGTCAAGCCATTAGGGAATTTGTAGTCGAACACCCAGTTGCCTTGCATTGGTATGGTTCGGGATGCCTTGCCAGAGCTGGTCACGGGCTCGCAAATGGGATGGTGGACCTCCTCCACTCCGTGATGACTCTAACCATCTCTGGGGCTATCCAACTCTTTCTCAAGTTGATGCTGCGAAAGTTTTACTGGGTAATCGGCTGCTACAATATACTGTTTTTTTGATGAACATGCTGATTGATTTGTCCATCCCTTGGGTACTGGAAAATCCATGGACTTCTCGAGCTTGGCTAACTCCTCCTATGAAACGCCTCCTCGAGTCAAAGGATGTTTCTTTTGGTCGAATCGATTTTTGCCAATACAACATGCCCTGGAGAAAATCGACTGGTTTAATGTGTTCTGGCATACATCTTCAACCAATGATGCGCATTTGTTCTGGTACCAGCAATCGCTGCTCTGCATCGGGCCGTCGTCACATCATCCTTGAAGGCAAAGACTCAGCCAACCAATGGTGGACTCATCGTGCACAGCCATATCCAGAACAAATGTGTAAAGAAATCATCCAACAGCTTTAAGTACACACGTGCCTGTGGGTAAGGGAGGAATGAACACTGGCATGCACCTCTGACACTGTAAAAAATCCCAGGTCATATGCATTGCCAGTCACTTTTTCGTGCAAAGTTTCCTTTCTTGCAGAGCACATATCATGTGGTCTTGCGCAAAAGTGCTGGCCGAATGCAAGTGTCATGTTTAGAATTTATTCGTAAATGACTGATGGAATGGTGGGCCGTTGACATAATCGCTCAAGCTTCACCTTCCTCCTCCCCCACCAACCACCTTCACCTTCGGGGAGGAATGAACACTGGCATGCACCTCTGACACTGTAAAAAATCCCAGGTCATGTGCATTGCCAGTCACTTTTTCGTGCAAAGTTTCCTTTCTTGCAGAGCACATATCATGTGGTCTTCGCAAAAGTGCTGGCCGAATGCAAGTGTCATGATGATGATGATGATGATGGAGGAGAATGAGATGATGGGAATTTCCCACTACAAAATACTAGTGTAACCTTTTCAGCTACTCAGCGTATCAGCGTATCAGCGTCGAACCACGTCCGGACACGCATTGCCACCACTCTCAAATAATACAAATAATACTATAACAAACAAACAATGAAAGATGATGATGATTTTGGGCCCAGGACTGTGCAGCCATCACAAGCCGCCTGGAGTTGGTCATCCTCCGGTGGATCCAATGAAAGCGATTCGGATGCCAAGGGCGACAGTATGGCAGTGACGGCTGGAGTCAGCACCCTGCTGGTGGCCACTTATCAGCTGGGCTCAGCTTAGCTGAGCCATGGCATTTGTGGCCAAAAAGGTAGATGTGAACATGAGAAGCAGCCCCTAAATCCGCCCGATACAAAAACCGACTTGTTCCAAAATTATCCAACATATGTTTTGTTTGCATTGAGATGCATTTAGTATTCAGACCATGCACCTTTTACAGCGCATGATGACTGTTTTATGTTTGTATTGTGTGGCAAGTGACGGAATAGATGAGCAGATGGCGGATGACCAATTTCTCAAACACCATTTTCATCACCTCAAGTGTTTCAAAGTTGACAAGTCAGCTTCGCTGGATGTTTGGATGTACGATTTATGCCTTGTGCGGCTGATGCAGAAAAGATTGCTCGGGTACCCAATATCAATCCGCGTATTTCAACGAGCTTGTGGCATGTTGTATCATTACTGTTGTTTTACTCGTACGATGTTTTGCAAATGAAAAAAAACAACCCTGGGTTCATAAACCCCGTGGCTGTTTGATGGGGGGGGTGTAGCATTTTCGAAGCCCAATATCATCCATTCTCATCCATTCTCACGATCTTGGGAGAACGCCGCTGAATTCTTCCACTAGGCTTCCCCTTTGGTGTTTTTTTGGGCCACCAACCCTAGCAGGCGCCCTTTGCCATGACCTTTGAGTACCAGAAATCTGCGGCCTTTCGATTCCTGCCGCTGTGGCAGGAGTCTCTGTTCTTCGAGCCGCTTGGGCCGAGATGGACCAGCACGTGGATGGGGCCTGGAAAATGGAAGTCGTGAGACATGGTATTTACGGCCATTTTGTGTGGGGATATATGGTCCACCATTATGGTTCATAAGTTCATTTACTTTTGTAGTTATGAATGTATAGGCTTGCACATTGCAAGTGAGTGATTCGTAATCATGCACAACTATGCATAACTCACCAATTTATATGATATTCGTGGATATCCACGTTCGGTTTGTATGTTTTTGTCAAGTTATGGTTCCTGGGGTGCACATAAATAAGGAAAGGATGCCTTTTTGAGAGGTGCCTGAGCAGCACAGACTGCGGAAAATTGCAGCAGTTGGTCTTGACTTCGTATTTGGTTTGATATAGCAATAATCTATATACTACCAATATGTTGATGGTTTCTGATGGTTTATGTGGTATTTTTTGGGATGGTTTTGGGGTGGGTGGGTAGATGTAGTTTTGGTTTGCCAGTCATGGATCATGGCTTTGTCGATTACCATATCCTCGGGGAGCACGAAACATGTCTAAACTATTGTTCACATAGTCATCCTTCAGTAGATAGACTGTGGATATGTTCAAAAATCGTACTAAAAGTATCTAAAAGTGGAATATGCTTGAACATTTCATAGTCTATTCATTACTAACATTATTATAAATCACATCCATTTATCGATCAATGCTGCACATGATACACATGCGGAATTTCAACCTAGCCCCGTGGTCTCATGTTGCAGGAGCTGATCGGAGCCATTTAAGAAGGGCTCATAGGGAAACCGACGGCTACTTGAACTATTCGAACCTACTATAGACAGTAACCAGCGAAAGAAACATGCAGGTAATTTCGGCTTGGACATGAATAGGTTGATCCCAGAAGAAAAGAAAAGCTTGGTAAACTGGTGTCACAAGCACTATCAGATACAAGTCCTGGCTGCCCAACACGCTGTGACTGCCCCAGAATGGGTTTGAGGAATGTGTAGGAACATGTCAATGTAGCAACAGCACCATTGTGCTGTGTTTTCTCCAAATTCGTCCTGAAACATTGTTTTAAACTTTTAAACAAATATAAATAAACATATAAATCACCATAAATCATGAAACATGTTTTTCGCAACCCAAAGATCTCTTCATCCAATGCCCCAATGGGGGTAGCTCGTCCGAGATTTTCCCAGGAACTTTCACGACAACTGCAGCCGCTGGTTGAATTTCACTTCCTCCGGTGCCTTCCGGCGCTGGTGTCCCCGCAAGGCTGAGGACAGCTTCTCCCCGCTGTTGTCCAGAAATGGACTGAAATGGGGGATGGATGGGGAGCCTTCGAAGGCAATGTTCTTGGAGATGGGGTCAGTCTATTTTCTGGCAAAGGGATCTACTTGTGTGATGGTTTATGCGTTTGGTCTTTTTGACACCATCGCAAAGAATGAAAGGCTTTTGGTCAAAAAGGCTACGATGCTCTTGGATGAGTGTGAAGCGAGTATTGAAGTTTGGATCATGTTCCTGCCTGTATTTTGTGTGGCAATCAAAAAAAAGATTGGGACTGCGATATTTATACTTGTTTAAATACATATATATGTATATTACTGTATATTGTATACGTACAATCTCTTTCGAATAATGACTAGCCACCGGAGCCTCTGGGGCAGCCCCCTGAGAGGACCCTTTGAGCCTTTGGTGCCTGGTGTTGCCAACGCGCCCCAGACATTTGGAGGAGGAAAGCATATCTATGGAACAATGTGGGCAACGATGTTGCATCCACTAGTCACCATCAGCAAATATGCGTTTCTTTTTGGGGTAGTATACCGTATACCCCTATAATTACTTGGGATGATTGATCCAGGTTGGGGACTGAACCAGGGGACCAATTCCTCATGGAGGGCTAATTATTTTAGGATTTTTTTTTTGATCAGGTTTAGGAATTATTTTTGGATTCCTGCTTCTCTGCTTTTCCTGCTTTTCCTGCTTCTCTGCTTTTCTGCGTTTTTGCTTTTCTGCTTCTCCTGCTTCTCCTGCTTCTCCTGCTTCTCGCCTTTTCTGCTTTTTTGCTTTTCTGCTTCTCCTGCTTCTCTGCTTCTCTGCTTTTCTGCTTCTTTTGCTTTTCTGTTTTTCCTGTTTCTTTGCTTCTCTGCTTTTCTTGCTTTTCCTGCTTCTCTGCTTTTCTGCTTTTCCTGCTTCTTTGCCTTTCTGCTGTTTTGCTTTTGTGCGTTTCCTGTTTCTTTGCTTCTCTGCTTTTTTTTTTTGCTTTGCCTGCTTTAAATACTTGATTTTCATGTAAGATGCATTTTGCACAGTATTTACATCCCTGAGTATCACATGACCAACCTTCTCTTGAAAACTAGCAACGTAACATGTGAGAAGAGGTGCTTGCATTCTGCTTTGGGGGGAGGCGCTGCGCCCTCCCCCCAATCCCCCCCTGCCGCTTTTTTTTCATTTAAACTTAAACCCAAGTTACATTAGTTGTTTTTTGTGAACTAACGTTCTCTGGAAAGCTGACAGGATTACATGTGATAGATAGATAGATAGATAGATTGATAGATAGATAGATAGCTGGATAGATAGATAGCTTGGTAGATAGATAGCTAGATAGATAGATAGATAGCCAGCTAGATAGATAGATAGCTAGCTAGAGAGATAGATGGCTAGCTAGATGCCTCGATAGATAGATGGCTAGATCGATAGCTAGATAGATAGATGGCTAGATAGATAGCTAGATAGATAGCTAGCTAGCTAGATAGATAAAGAGGTAGCTAGATAGATAGCGAGATAGATAGATAGATAGATAGATAGATAGATAGATAGATAGATAGCTAAATAGATAGGTAGATAGTTAGCTAGATAGATAGATAGCTAGATAGATAGCTGGATAGACAGCTGGATGGCTAGATAGATAGATAGATAGATAGATAGATAGCTAGCTAGCTAGATAGATAAAGAGGTAGCTAGATAGATAGCGAGATAGATAGATAGATAGATAGATAGCTAAATAGATAGGTAGATAGTTAGCTAGATAGATAGATAGCTAGATAGATAGCTGGATAGACAGCTGGATGGCTAGATAGATAGATAGATAGATAGATAGATAGATAGATAGATAGATAGAAAGCTAGATAGCTAAATAGCTAGATAGCCAGATAGATAGTTAGCTAGATAGCTCGATAGCTAGATAGGTGGGTAGGCAGCTGGATGGCTAGATAGATAGATAGCTAGATAGATAGAAAGCTAGAAAGCTAGATAGCTAGATAGATAGTTAGCTAGATAGCTAGATAGGTAGATAGATAGCTAGCAAGATAGCTAGCTAGATAGGTAGATAGATAGCTAGATAGATAGATAGCTTGCTAGATATAGCTAGCTTGCTAGATAGATAGCTAACTAGATAGCTAGATAGCTAGCTAGCTGGATAGATAGCTAGCGCCCTCCCTCAATCCCCCCCACCCGCTTTTTATCTAATCCCAAGCTTCCGCATCTGTAAATATTTGGGTGAACATGCTCACATGTAGAACATCCCATGCAAAATGGAAGGTGAACATGCCAAAATGTGGCAAATACCATACAAAATGGAAGGTGAACATGCCCACATGTAGGAAACCCCATGCAAAATGGAAGGTGAACATGCCAAAATGTGGCAAATACCATACAAAATGGAAGGTGAACATGCCCACATGTAGTAAATCCCATGCAAAATGGAAGGTGAACATGCCCAAATGTGGCAAATACCATGCAAAATGACAAATTCAAGTTCCAAACCGTTGCAAACACTAGGCAAATGGTACCAGCCAAGAAATCCAAAAAAAATTCCCAAACCTGCTCAAAAAAAAAATCCTAAAACTATTTCACACCCATTCCTCCTTGTCCATCAACTCCCCATCTACATGTTGATCCTCTTGTCCTCAATGATGTCCTTTGCTTAAAATGGCAAACATCCCATCAAACAATCAACCAGCAATTTGGCAACATAAATGCATTAGTTTGATGAGTTTGATGCTTTCAGGTCTGTTTCTTCATACGTTGATATGTGTGTGTGTGTACCTATTCTTCTTGTTTTTATGTGCAGGTACTGGAAAACACCCAAAGTGTTTCCATCACCGGTTGGAGGATTGCCGCGTCTTGTGTTCCTTGCAGCATCGCTTCGCTGCACCAGTCTTCCCCAGTTTGGTGGCATTTAGGGCCATGTGCAGCAGCAAGATGCGACGTGCCTGGAATGAATGGAAGGATCTTTCCAAGGGAACTTCTAAACAACATTTTGTTGATGTTTTCTTGATCATGTTTGATCATGTTTCATCAGCATGACCAGCACGGAGATGGGAATTAAGGTCTCCCGAGATCGCCTCATGCTTTGATCTTTGATGGGTCGTGAGGTTAGCGACAGGATGTTCTGTTGGATCCATTGCAACCTTCTTGTATACGACCCGCTACCGCCCATTACCAGGCATTACCATTGATATTTAGACCCATTACAACCCATTGATCCTGGAATATTTTGAACAGTTCAAGTCTCACATGTAATTTCAAGGGAAGCTCCCCTTTTCATCAACCCATTTACATCTATTTACTGTATGATTACAGTAAATCGGATAGACTAAATTGTTTAATTTTATGTTAGACTAGAATAGGTATAGAATAGGTGTATGTACAGGATTGTACAGGTGATTTAACCGTTTAACCTTGATAAACTACTTTTTTTTTGAGAGGGTTGCTGGTGAAACGACGGAGGCCTTCGCGCTGGTGGCATTTTTTCTGTCTTCTGCGAGCTGGGCGCAATGCGGCGAAACTGCACAGATTTGTTGGGGTCTTTGGCAGTCTTTGGTTAGTAAAACCATGCATTGACAATTGGAAAAACATCAAAAGATGTTGGATGCCAAAATTGGAAACCAATAGTTGGTTTGATTGCGTGGATGGCAATTAACAAAAATGAAACGATATTTGGATAGTACCACCAACATTTCCTGTAGATCTAAAACCTGAACCATTTTAACCAAACCCATTGAACACTAAAAAGCATGGAACCTTTTTTGGCAAAGGGGGTTGAAGATGATGTTGTCTCTGACTATAAACTGTTGCGCAGTTGCCTTTTGAAATTTGGGGGTGCGTATGTCCCGGATTTTGTAAATGTGAAACACAATCCAGGAAACACATGGAAGCACTTGTATATAATTGTATGTTGCATGTGGGAATCATCAACCCGCGCTTCCCATTATGTTTTACATGTTTTTACGAATTCATTGAACTGGTCTCTGAAGTGGATGCTTAGAATTGCTGCTTGAAAATATATAAGATAAAAACCTATAGTTAGTAAGTCCCCTATATTTCAGTGGGTTTTAGTTTTTTGCAATGTATAAATGGGTTGTAACTAACTAACTCATACCCAGCCGAACACTCTTCGGATATTTCAAATACAGCTAGTCCCAACCCTCCTCGACCCTGATTGCCTAGTCCAGTGGATATCTTCAGCATTTACTTCACCTACGACTCCAGCGGCCGCACCATGTTTGCTGGTGATGGGCGTTCTGCTGACGTGGTACCTTGCTGCAAAGGTCCCAGGTCCTATCCTTTTCTTATGCAGGGACTGCCATGGAAATCCCATCGTGCCCCCTTGTTTTCTTTTGAGTATCTACTCGTTGGTAGGATGTGTATTGCTCCAAAAAAAGTATATTTGAGTTTGAGTAGGGAGACAACTACTAAAACTGTTTATGTATAACATGTTCACCAGATAACTACTCAAAGGAAGTATGCTTTAGTTCAATGCTTTTTAAGATATTTAAAATCAGGGCTTGAGCTATTTCCACTGAGCCTTGCCATGAGGCACTTGGCCGCTGGGAGGACGAGCAGTGGTACGAGTTCCTGTTGCATTTCGACTGGGCCACACGGAAGGCAAGGGGAATTCTGCAGGGAAACTGTATCTGATAGGTTTAAAGATGTGCTGAGTGTGTTGACTCTATAGGAGCCAGTAGGAGGTATCGTCTATGTAATCTACGCATGATGAATCTATTATGATCATTTATGCGGTATATATATAATATATACATATTAATTTATTATGTATATACTGTGGTTGGTGGTTTCATTCTGTTCTGACCTCATTGCAAGGATCTTCCATACATGAGATCCAACGGTCTTTTACCAACCAAATGCGGTGTGGCTGGTGGTTCCTAACTTGTTTCTCTTCAACAACATAAGTGGGAAGATGATCCCTTGGTGATATCTATAGTATATATATACACCAATATTTATTTATATATATATATAAATATGGTGGCCAGATAGTTTGGCAATGGAAAATCACCGACACGGGGGGAAGAGAGAGAGAGAGATATATATATAATATAATATAATATATATATATATGTAATGTATATATATATATATGTAATATATATATATATATATGTACGCCATTCGTGTTGTTTTGTTTTTAATGTTCTAGGAACTGGTTGTTCGATTTGCGGCGTTCAGTGTTGTATGTCTAATTCACCTGGAATCATCCGAATTGATTGATCGCATCCAACGGTTTTTGTTGGTTCTGACTGCAGGTCCGCGTGCGCCATGCACTAGATGGCCGGTTGCAGCGCAGCTCACAAGGTTCATGACATCAGTTGCTGTTGCAGTTTATACCCTCCGATGTCATCAAACGTGGCTGGCTTGAACATACCCTATAAATGGAGGTTTTAATGAGAAAATGTCGGACAACCCCTTATTATAAATGGATGGTTTTAGTGAGATTATACCCTATAAATTGAGGTTTATAGCTGGGAAATTCGTGTTCCAGCCAGCCATGTTTGATATCAAACATGGCTCGCTGGGATGGGAAATTCATGGAAATTCATCGCGGCGATTTCCGGCAAAGCATGTTGGATTACCAGAGGATAAACCAGGAGCATATTCCATTCAAAACTACAGAGTTTTTTTTTGCGAATTTTAGGTGCCGGACTTATGATTTGAACATGTGTTGGTTGATGGTTTCACTGGGCTCTACCGTCCCACCAGGACCGAGCCTCTTCCCCCAAAAAAAATGTGGATATACATGTAGACTCAGACCTATGCAGATTATGCAGTTTGCTGGTAAATTTCGACCTTCCCAGCTTTTCGCTTAGATTGATGGTAGACATAGTATATAAATGTATATAAATATAGCAGACTCATATTCCCCAGGGTCAGGTTCCCACCTGGCTAACTTCCCACAGGATGCTGTGTGGACCTGTCGTGTCTTGGCGCATGGAGAAGGCCAGTGGTGATATGATCATCAACTTATGGGATTCAAAGGTGGTGATCAGGTTGATGTTTTTCGCAGAATCCCCAAGCCCAACTTGAGGTCCAAGACTTTCTGACCCATGCCCAAATGAAGCCCAAAGTAAAGCCATCAGTTCCTGTTCGGATTTGTATGGAAGATGTGGAAAATCTTCGAGCTGGGCGTGGGGAATGAGCACAAGCAACAAACCCTGGCACATCCGGCCCCTAACCGTATACTTATTCCCACATATCCGCACTACAATTACAAACTGTTGTGCTCAACCAACCACTTGGCATTTCCTTGAATATATTTGAATAGCTCAGTCTTAGCTCAGGATAGTTGATTCCAAGAAAGATTAAGAAAGTGGATGCCATCACCATCCAAACATTGACAGGTTCCCAGCGGGTTTTGTGGGACCAGTTGCGTGGACCAAGGCCCGATATCACCCGGCTCCAAGCAGCTCCACCACCACTGGTGGGTATCAAGTTATGGCATGCTGCAGAAGCAGGGCAAAATTGGGCATGATGTGGCGTGAGGGTGCAGTTGTCACACACACAATATGTATATAATTATAATATATATATATATACACATATATATATAACACAATATAAATAAATAAATATATATATATATATATAATATATGATATAAATATATATATATATATATGTAAAAATATATATGTAATATATACATATATATGTGCATGATTATGTATAGATGTCATACACATAATATATATGTATATATATATGTATGTAAATAGAGATGGCTATATACTGGTCATGATGATTGATTTCTATAGCTATACATGTATAAATAATGTATGACACATATGTTTATGTATTAGATTCTATTAATGTTTGTAATATTTTTCCCGCTATTTCTGCCGTTTCAGCCTATGTTCCCAGATTTGCAAAACTGTTCAGTAACTGAGTTAGCTGCTGTGCTGATTGAGAGAATCCAAGGGGTCCACGTGGTGAGTGAAGAGATGCTCGCACAGATGATAATTATTGTAGTCATGATGACAACAACAATAATGATGGATACAGATACTGCAAATGAGCACATGATAAAGCACTGTTGAATAGTTATATATATAACTCTGTTCACGTGCCTGATTTGATCTTCTTAGGTCTCAGTGCTGGGCTTCTAGCGGCTTCCGCCAGAGCTGTTATGATACAGTTTTCCATTTCAGACACCACCCTCAACAGGAATCATATGTTGTAAGTGCTGGCCGTGTTCCATAGATAGTTGCTTCCGGGCAAGTCGGATACAATTTGTTAGTTGCTGAGATACAGCCACGTTTCATAGACAACTGGATGATCCATCGAATTAGACAAGTGACAAGGGTCATGTGTTATACTTACATTGAGGTCAAATAAAATACCCATTCAATATTCATCAGTGTTCCAGGTTTCTTTCCAGGCAGTTTGGCAGAGTTCGCCCTGCCGGAACTCAGGAAGATTTCGAGGCGTCCTGGACGGACGTGCTGGTCATCTGAGCGAAAATCTGAACGCAGCGGCAGCGGTGAAGGTCCAGGATAGCCATGGAAGCCATGGCCCATAGAAATAGATGATTTTCCCAGCTAGAAACTTCCATTTATAAGGGATTTTCCATGGCTATGTTAAATAACGGTACAGTATATTATATTATGATCATAATTATATTATGATCATAATAACGTTATATATATATATATCAATGTATATAATAATAATGTTTACACTAGGGTGTGTCAGAATAATGTATTATGATCATGGTTTTAATTTACACTATGTATCATGTTAATTAACCATAATGTAATAAAACCAGTATGCCATTTACACTATGTACCATAAAATTTGAGTATGTCATAATACATTCCGGTAATTTATAACGACCTCACTGTTCTCCCTCGCTAGAATAATGGTTAATTTGCCCAGACATATTTGATCATCAGGGTTTTAGTTTAGATGCATAATAGTTTAATAGTTTATACAATAAATCACAAATACAGATGTTGGATAAACCTGAATGGCACATCTATTTTCTTGAGTCTTATTTTGTTGCCGCCCTGCGAGGCAAGCCATAAACATTGACATGGCATGGGGTCCAAAACATAACTTCCTTGGGACCTTAAAAGGCTTCCACCGGTGCAGACTGAGGCTTCACCATGGCCAGGTGCCTTAAAACATCGGCATGGGGGGGTTGTCCCATGTTCAACCTTGTGTTCCTCGGGGATGTGCTCAGGGGAACCGACAGGTCGGCAGGACAACTGATCACTGCCTCGAAAATTTCCTGAATTGTTGAACATGTTGAAAGTGACATCAAGTGACCATCAGTTGGTGTGATATAACAAGTTGTTGACAAAACTTATTTGGCCCCTGATCTGAAACATGTTTTGCCTAAAACAAGTTGGGATGGTGATGATGATCCCCAAGGACTTTGGTTGCCTGAGACCACTGATCTTGTTGACAGGGACAAACCTCCCACCAGAATAGTCGGAATACTAAATACTGAAGTTCCATGAAACATCCAATGAAAGATTTTGCAACATATTGAAACACCCCATCTTGTTTAAGTTCAAAGCATCCCATAATGATTAAGTTAATCTCATATATTAAGTGGCTGGTGGCTTTGCAGGTGATCCCGTCTGGTTCGGCGTGGTCAGGCCGGAACCAGCTGATGTAATTAGTGCAATGATGTCTGTGTGATGGTAAACATTGGTAAATCTGAATTTTGCCAACAACATATGGGATACAAATGGGATTATATATACATATATATATACACATTATTTTTATATACATATATATATATATGTATACATTATATATCAGACAACATGATGTCAAATTTGGACACACATATATATATATATATGTATATATATATCATAATAATAATTATTATTATTTTTATTATTATTATTTTTACAATGCGATTACGCATGGGATTTTAATTGCATATCAGCTAATCCCCTCAGGTAATCAAGCATGGCCGACTGGGAAATCCCTGGCTGTTTTACTGCGATTTTTTTTGGAACTCAATGCCATTTTCCAGCAAGCAATGCTTGATCAACGGAGGCTCTATATATATATATATATGTATATATGTATATATGAAATTTAATTGAAGTTATTTGAATGTTTTATGCCCTGGCCTGGGTTTGTATTGGATCTACTCATATCTACTCATTTTGGGGTCCTTCATTCGAGGCATTTAATCGTGTCATTGCTATATAATAATCACTATAATCCTTGACTTGTGTGTCACTTGTTGGTGTTCAAGGGAGGCAGTTATACATATCATCACTTATCATCCGTTCTAATATTTCCATGTGTTTTGCGGTAAATCCACTGGTAGACCTCTATACTTATGGGATGCTTTGTTCTGTCAATGTTTGATACGGTCCACAAATTCAGTTGGAGCGATTTCATGTTTTTTGAGCTGGTGCCATTGGAGAGTTCGCCACGAAAAAAGGCGAGCGATTCTTGCGTCGCCAGATCAGGTGGTCTACCAGTGGAAGGTTTCAACGCCCTGGTCTCAGCATGTGAACGTGAACTAAGCTACCAACATCCGAAATAAAAAACAAATGATTTCACAGTTGAAGTACCCCTTTAAAGATGGGATTGTCGGATTTGTCAAGTTGCCCATTCCAGCAACTTGCATGTCCAGTCACCGCGCATGTGGATAAATTTGGCTGGTCATTATAAGTTTCCTCATTGCCCTTTGAAAGCTGTGGTGGGTTGGAAAGAAGCACGGAAAACAAACTATGCTAGTGCCCCAGCAATGCAAGTTAATGGCGATTATAATCCCTCAGCTAAAGTGAGATCGGATTTTGCACGTTTCTCAGATGGGGTCAGCAATCCCAGCGAAACATGTCTTTGCCGTTGTGGATTTTCCAACATTTGAGCATTTTCAGAACGCATTAAGAAATCCTGTGCGATTTCTTTGCTTGGACAAAGCAGCCCCAAGACAGGCTGAGAGCGGGATGTTCTGGGACATTCTGGGACCATTTGCTTGGGTTGTTTGAAGCCGCGGCTCGAATGGCTCTTTGGCTTTCAGCATGCACTTTCGTGCTTAGCAGGAGGTAGGTAAATGTGATATATGTTACATTTACATATTATATAATGTCTACATACACACATTTGATGTACACTGTTTGCATGGTGAGATAGTTATGTAAACATAGAGTAAACGTATGTCTTTCTATGCATATATATATATATGTGCAAATATATTTATATACATATATATATATGCATATATATATATATATATATACATATATATATACACACATATATATATACATATATATATATACATATCTATCTATCTACCTAGCTATCTATCTATCTAATCTAATCTAATCTACTCTAATCTAATCTAATCTAGTCTTATATACTTATTTTATCTTATCTGATCTTATCTTATCTTATATTATCTTATTTTATCTTATCTATTCATCTATCTATCTTATCTTATCTTATCTTATCTTATCGTATATTATCTTACCTTGTCTTATCTTATCTTATCTTATCTTATCTATCTACCTATCTATCTTATCGATCTTATCGATCTATCGATCTATCGATCTATCGATCTATTGATCTATATATCTATTGATCTATCTATTTATCTATCGATCTATCTATCTATCTATATTTCTATCTATATATCTATCGATCAATCTATTTATCTATTTATCTGTCTATCTATCTATCTACCTATCTATCCATCTATCTATCTATCTCTCTCTCTCTCTCTATCTATCTATCTATCTTTCTATCTATCTGTCTATCTATCTATCTATCTATCTATCTATCTATCTATCTATCTATCTATCTATCTATCTATCTATCTATCTATCTATCTATCTATCATCCATCTATCTATCTATCTATCTATCTATCTATCTATCTAATCTATCTATCTATCTATCTATCTATCTATCTATCTATCTATCTATCTATCTATCTATCTATCTATCATCATACTATATGGCAAGCAGCTGCGAGTCTAGAAGAAGCTAGAACAGTTTGGACATGTACGGGCCAAAAGTTTGTAGACGAACTGCCCAGGACCGTTCCAACTATACTTTGCCCCCTGATCAGCCATGTCCAAAGTCCCGCAGCAGCACAGCTTGCTGGACCTTCAACCGCCGGGGGAGGGGCTGACTGGATTTACCAAAGGTTTTGAAAAGACCACAGCCGAGGCAATTTTGTACCATGAATCAACCAGGGTCAATTTTTGGGACAATGTCTTTGTTTGGAAGCCATGAATTTTCACTGGCTGTCACAAAGCCAGGGTGATTAAACCGGCTTAAACCAAATGCTTTAAGACATATGATCAGCGTTTTGTGGAA